GCTGGCAGTGAGCTGTCGTTTCGATTGGGGCGACACCTGAAGGCCCATACTGGAAGCTCGCAATATGCCACTGGTAGGGTCAACGTTTATAGTTCCTTTTAGGTTTCGGAACACTTCCATCGCCTTCAGGGAGCAGGCGGCAGACTGCAGTTCCCGCCAACACAGCACTGCAGTCCAACTTTGCGCCAAGCAAACGAAGGCCATCTGCTACAACTAGGCACGGTGTAGCCGGTACGCAGCATTTACATAACACCACAACTTCTTGATTTAGGCACGAGATGCATGTGTCAAGCCTAGATGCATGTGTGGCGTCTTTCCAGGTCCTTTGTAAAAATAACAGCACGTGTAAACGTGGTGCCAGGGCAGCATTAGTGGATTAAAGAGCCAATTTGTCACTCTGTACCTTCTTGTTCTTCCAGGTAGCAGAAACAAAATATAGCCCTCAATTGTGTTAGCCACACCTAACCGAAGCCTCGGTAAAAGCTGTGGATCACTTGGATCCAGCTTAGTTGTTTAGAAGCTATTTTTCAAGTCTTAGCATAGGAATCTTGGACCTTGTGCACATTAACTTTGCGCAGCAATAATCACCCCGGCAGGCCATACCTTAAAGGAAGTTGAAACCAAGCCATTTCTGTAAGATATGAAACCAAGCCATTTCTGTAAGGTATCAGCCACGTTTAAAATTTCACTGAAAGGGCGCTATTTCTATGGTGGCTAGAGGGGGAAATGTGATGGGCGAGAGCGGATGGCTGCACGATTTCACAATGAAAAATAGCTGCCATACCAGATGGCACTACTTGCACCATAGGTGCTTGCACATGGTCATCACTTGCACATGGTCATCACTTGCACATGGTCATCACTTGCACATGGTCATCACATGGTCATGGTCACTTGTATGGACATAGTCATGGTCATGGTACTTGCACATGGTCATCACTACCACAATACTGCCAAATTATCCCGAAATAATTTTCTTGTTTGTCCTGGCTTAGTAGAGTGGTGAAGATGTACCTGACTGGCATGGTCAGCAAACCAACCATGAGCTGGTTGGCAGAACACAGGCCAGAACATGTGGCCAGGCAAACAACGACGGTGAAGGCGAAGTATCCGAATGAGGCAACGGCACAGCAAAGAGAGAACCAACGAACCCAAGCATGCGTGGCGAGCACCTTTTACTACACCAGCGCCCCTAAATTTTCACTGCGTTTCGCGCAACCTTCTCTTACGACGAGAATGCAGTGCCCGTCGCACTACCCCCCTCTAGCCACCATACTACCAGCGCACTTTCTTCTTCTGAAGTATTCAGATTTATGGGTGTCCATGAGTGAATAACACTTGGGATTATTAAAGAAATGCAAATTCTATGAAAATGGGGAAACATCAGTGCCTTGACAGAAAAACACTTGTCCATGTCACACACTAGTCACGAGCATTCGAATTTCCAACAAGCGCATAGCTGAATTCGTGTAACGATTCGGGTTTGTGAGCAGCAACAAAGCATTCGCCAATCTGTTTTGTACCTTGCATACCAGCCAAGTTGAAGAATTCTGAATCCGGGAGATTTCCACAAGGGGGGGGGGGGGGGGCATTAAAAAAAAACCAAGGACAAACAAGCAAACAAAAAAACATCACAAAAACGAAAAGAGGTGGGAGGGGAGTCGTCTCAATCGCAAGCGCCAACATCAGTGTTGCAGTCTTATAGCGGCTAGGAGTAGCCGAACCCACGAGGGTAAAGTTTTTCACTAAGGTGAGAGTCTCAAAGGATCAACACAACTAGCAGAATCTACTTATCTATTTCGGTCAAAACAACTCGCGTGTGTCATCTTGGGACACACATGAACAGACAGGACGGCGCAGCTGGCTGGCCGCAAATACGCGGGTCAAAGATTTGCTCACTAATAGATTCTTTTTGACAGGAACGCCAAAACGCGTCTGGCCCCTCTTTATTGCGACAGCATTTATATGGACAGTCCAAGCTGTTTTTTTTTTGCCGTAGCCACCCCCGCCGTCCTTCGTCGTATATGTATAGGTATCTATATATATATATATATGAACACTTAAAGAAAAAAAGCCGCCCACGCTCGGCGCCGACGGCTGCTTATCTCTCACGTGTACTTTGACCCATGGATGGGGGGGGGGGAGTAGTAGCCTGTGCACGCGCGCTTATTCTTCGGTGGGCGAATCGTGTGCCTTCGGCTTTCACTGAAACGAAAGCATTAGTTGCCGGGCCCAAAAAGGTCACTTTGGTCTCTGCACAGGCCCCTTTCTCAAAAAGAAAGCGGGCTTTTCATACACAGCGAGGTATAACAACTGGGGCACTTGTTAATTTGTACTCATCGGTATACCTGTGATTACGTATCGTGCAGCACGTTACGTGTCGAGTGGTAAACGTTGTTAGTTCGCTCTCGTCCTGCGAGTATCGTTTTCGCGCGTCGTTTGTGTGTGTGCAGCGCGCTGCACGTTTCAATCTGCTAGCCATTCTCAGCGTTGCACTCCAAGGTTGTTGCTGTTGCATTTATTGCTACAAAACCAACTTTTTTTTATTTCCTGCGTATTTACTGCTTTTAACCTACCGCTGTGTGCCCTCGGAGCTCGTAGATTGCTCTCGCGTCGCCACGACCGCGGTTTCGTGTGCGGCGGTTGCGGCAAACGGTAGTTAATTTTACAATCCCCATGCGCTTGGCTACGCACGCACCTTCAAAACTAAGTCCTTTTATGCCATCTACAATAGCATCTGCCGCAGTTTTGTCCGCAGAGTTTGCGGAAAGCAGCGTTGCTTGACTGGCTGAGCGCACACTTTCGGTGTTCTGTCAGTAACGTCATCGCCATACATTATCGTATCAAGAGCGACCGTGGTTTCGTCCACAGCAGTTGTGGCAAGGACAATCACACGCACTGTAAAAGACAATGCGTGCGCCGGTCGAACGCGTACTACCGAAGCTTTGAGTACGCTGCTCTCGGCCTTCGTTCGACGGTTTCCATACTAAAGTTTGTATCACCCACTGCGATTAGGAAATGTGTTCGGAACATTCGAATTGAGGCCCAATGAACATAGTAAAGTTTGACTGGGGAATTTCAAGAATTCGTATCTGCCGCGGTTTTGCATCACTGAGATTATACTGTACCATAGTTATAGCGCGAGAACAGAACGATGACAAAGAGACAAGAAGGACACGAGCGATTTGTCGTCGTTCTGTTCTCGCACTATAACTATCATCACGTCATGTCAATTAGCCCAAACTGCCACATTATACTGTATGTTTATATGAACACCTCTTAAACTCATTTATAATAAAATGGGGTAGCTTCGAAAAGCCTGGAGCAGATTGAGCTGCCTTTTTGTCAATGCAGCCAGATCACGCACAGAAGTCTCGATTTCCGGGAGATTTTCATGATAATCGTACATTTGGAAAAAACGGTCAAAATCCGGGAGTCGCCCGGCCAACATGGAAGACTTGGCAGGTATGCTATACCCGTTCAGTGATCTTGCTTGCTGCATGATGAATGTACATTAAATGGACACTTTCTGCTGTTCAGGTAAATCTTCAACTAGATCATTGAGAGTCGCTGGGGATGCAGTCTTCATTATTTTTTACTCAGCCGGCTCATCTCAAGTTTTTTTTGTTCTCCAGCAGCGGTGGCACAGATCAAGCGTTTTCTTCATTCACTGGCTGAAATCTGCTCCTTCTTGGTTTTTTTTTTATTGCCAATCTGTTTTTTTTTCTCTCAGTGTTGTCACTAAAATGATAGAAGACACACATACCTCTGTTAGCACCAGTCATGCCCACACAGTCCTTGCAATGAATATTTCTTAGCGGTGCACTTTCTGCTTTCACTGGGCCAGTAGATGTATTCTTTGAATTCAGCATTATATAAGATTATTACCGGAGGTATTTCCGCCTCCTAAAGGACCGCCGAACTCTAGTTGGAGGGGAGTTGAAGCACGCTTTTTTTTCCAATCGCTCAGAAAAACTGGAGTCCTCCAAAGGAGCGAGTACCTGTTGCAAGGATTCTTCGGGTAGATCTTGCGGCCGCAGCAGTTGGTTGTGGTACAGGTACCCTTCTTGCGGTTTCATGACAAGCACACTAGGAGGTTCGAAAACAAACAAGGAACTGCATCACTCCTCAATGCCCATGCACCTTGGTTAATTTCGACTTCTCCTTTATGATGTGCTTATATCTCTTCAGAATGTCACTTTTTTGAAAGCAAACGTTCAAATTTGCGAGTCTTTCCCGAACTTTAGTCTATGCATGGAATAAATCTTTCCTGCTTCTGCAATAACAGCGAGTCAAACAGCAGAAAGAAGTGGCGTTTCTCGAACTTTTCCCATACCCCCTAGTGTGCCCGGGCCGATGCTTATGCCTGCTGGTCACAAGAATGTGGTAGCAACTGCATTCTGTGTCGAATTGTACAACGTACAGCCCAAGTGATTAGACGCCGGTGCAGCGGGTGTTCCTATACAAAGATTAGTGTTCAGTAAGAAAGTAATAAACGCTGGCTCCTTTTTATCTATCCACAGCACTGCAAAACTTGCTCTATTTGTATTATTCAAAGATGCAATGAACTTGTTATACATGAAGAGTTGGCCGGAGTATGTCGGCTGCAAACATCCAAATCAGTCTGATGGCTAAAATGCTAAAACTAAAAGCAGAAGTTGAACTATGCAAATCGGCAAGGTGTTTTTCAGCTACTGCGTAAATTTAATGCGGCTTTCAAACCTTAAGCGAAAGGAATGTTGGACCCGACAAGGGTGTTGAACAACGGTTCACCTCGGCTGTCGTGAGCCGCGATTGTATTACGAGCATAATACGAGAGCTGTGCGTGTTTTTCCTGCGCTATGGTTGAAATTTTCTTGATGACAAATAACCAACTCGCCGAATACTCACATTGATTGGTGTCATGACTCACAATGATTGAGTGGTAAGTGAGAAAAACAAGAAAGCGAAAGCCACTCAAGTACTGCCTGACAGGCTCCAACCATGATGACGGCACTCACGAGGAAAGAGGGTGCGCAGCTTTCCAAGCAGGCGCTCATGCAGCTCTAGCTTTCGTGCCAGCAGGTCTTCCGTATGCCGATGCTGATGGTAGTAGGCCCAGAGGGCTGCAGACACAGAGGCCCACTCATCCTGCATGGACACATGTTGTACAGTTTGAACTCCAAGAAGACCGTAAAACTGTTGAGCAGACTTCGAATCAGCGAGGGGGCACTGAAATGAACATACACTACACCATGCTGCATGGGCAGAATGCAAAAAAACCACCTATTGCAAAGTAGCCGCTACTATAACATGACTCGCCGTAGGTAGCTTGCCCTGCCGCCAGTCCCCTAGCCCAACTTCAGCAAAGAGGGAGGCGCTTTCCTAGAATGACATCACAAAGAGGGCGAGTTTGTACAAAAAGTATTCGGCATGAGTCTGCCAACACTGAGGCAGCAACAACCTGTGTCAGCAACACCCGTCAATGATATGTCCTCCTGCCACAATGCCCTGGTAGCCCAATTGGCGAACACCAATGCACCACAAAAGAGAGGACAAGGATTGCGAATGCACTCAGGCCACGCGGCAACCGCTGGCAGCAGGCAGTTGCGGCCGAGGTTTAGAGAAATAAACAAGGTTCTTGGTCTGGGTCCGCGTCTTCCATGCGGGGTTCTCGGCCGAGCACCCTCAAAACCCCTACATCTGACACCCATTAAGAAGAACCCCGCGCCTAAGCCACGGACATTGAGGCAGTCTATGATCATGGCCCCAATGACGCCGCTGCTCATTCCCACCTTTACCAGCCAAGACACGAGGGAATCGGTCATCGATTTCATTGACGATCTTTTTGTATACTCGACCGTTAGCGGCTTCTCGGAGTCCGACGTGCTCTAGCGGGTCCTCCCAGTCACCCTGCGTGATACCGCAGAACCTTGACGGAGTTTAAAACCTCCCTTTAAGTCCGGGAACCAGTTTGTCGCGGCATTCAGGGAAGAGTTCCTGCCGGTCGTCCACGACTACTCACATAAGCCAGCTGAAGTGTGGGTTGGGACGCTTGATTCATGAACATGACGAGCTCAAGCACACGCACGACGTCTACAAATCCAGGGCAACCACCATAATTGACGAGAAGAACCGCCATATTTCTGGCCTGGAAGACAAGGTTCGCATTTGGGAAAAGCTGCTCGCAGATGCCCAGCAGCACCTGAGGGATCAGCAAAAGCAGTCTGCCCAGTTCGAAACGCAGTTGCTGAAGAAGGACACTGAGCTGGCGAACATGTGGCACAGTTACGAAGAGAAGCTTCAGCGGCAGCGTGCACTCCAAAAATCTCAGCTGGGTGAGCTAGGAAAGCAAGCAGCTGACCTCCGTGCCCAGATCACCCAGGCCAAGCAGGACCGTGACCAAGAGGCTAGTCAAGCGCAGGCACGAATTGTGGAACCGAACAACAAGGAGGCCGAGTGCAAGAAGAACCAGGAACGGATCCCTGAGCTCGAAGTCGGCCAGAAGAGTTTCTTGGCAAAGGTCTCCAAACTAGAAACGCAGCTTCGTCTTGTGTCGCATTCTGAGATAACCCTCAAGCACAGCTTAAGAAGGAGAGAGGATGAACTAGAGACCATGAAGGAAAAGCTAGCGAAGATGAACAGGTGCTGGACTCAGCTGAGATGGAGCAACTTGAGGCAAGGAAGCAGCATTCGAAAAAACCACAATCCAGACTGCGAAACGAGGTGACACAGCTGCAGGAATCCATGAAGAGGGTGAGAGAAAAGGTGGAGGGGTTGGAGGAAGCTGCAGATAATGCGAGCAACTGCGTTTGCATGTCTGACCTGGCGTGCAACGTGGCTGTCCTCGAGGAACAAAGCTGCGTGGAGAGAGAATGTAAAAGGCAATCAGGTATCTACATCAACGAGCATGGGGAAGTGAGCACCGGAGGCGTTTGCAGTCTGAGCTTCGGCGGGGATATCACGACCCCATGTCTGCCGAGCTCGCCATTGTTTGACGACTGCGACATGGAGGAGTGGCTGCCACCGATACGCGACTGGTCCAGACAGCTACAACTGAAACAACCCACAACAACGACTTATGACTTGCCGTGACCTGCGCTGCCCCAGGAGCATTGGCGTTATGTCATGCTCTCGCCGATAATCGCAATTCGTCACCCTAAGCGAGTCTGGTGCACGGCAACGAATCTACTGTGCCGGCATGTGGTCTTGTGTACCACGTGCGGTCCGTTGTGGCCAGGACTAGCAGCTACTGCAGCACCTACCTCTTCCATACTGCCCCCTCCCTTTCGCCGAAACGGAGGAGGCAGTATGGAAGCGGTGACCGGGAGTGCGCCAATGAAAGGTAGAAGAGAAGGACGAGGATCGCGAGTGCGCTCGGGGAACACGGCAGCCGCTGGCAGCAGGCAGTTCCGGCCGAGGCTTAGAGAAATAAACAAGGTTCCTGGTTTAGCTCCGCCTCTTCTCTGCAGGGTTCTTGGCCGAGCAGCCTCGAAACCCCTACAGAGCCCAAAGGGGAACCAGACTGGTGAAAAGTCGGTGTCCTTTGAAGAGGTGACTGCTACAGCCAAAAACACCTGCAATCGTCTAACATTAGTGGCAGGTAATGACATCAATAAAGTTCATAGAGCTTTGGCAGCAAAAAGAATTGACTAGTGCGTGAATGATATGCAAGAAAGCACTATCATACATTCATGCGAGCAGTGTGCTTTAATGTAAAATAGATTGCGCTATTTATGCTCCAATGCACATTAATTATGTCGCACAGTTAACCCAGTCAACATTACACCACTCGCCAGGTTCGACAATTTTGAGCTGATCAGTGCAATGCGTAGATAAGACGTTCTTAATCACATCTGCCAAAATTTGCCCCACTACGTGCCGCGAAAATGGTTCAAATTTCAAAATGAACGCTGCTCCCCCTTCCTTTTGCGGACGTGCGCCCAGAGAATAAGGGCATGACGTGCGCATATTAAAGGCCCTATGTACACGGCAATGCAGTGGCGTTGGTCCTCTACATAGACGACTATGCTCTGACGTTGCCAACAGTGGCACAAGACATGACGAAAATTATTTTGCATGACATGTGCAGTTTATGTATTTGTTGCTTGAAGAGATTAATAAATCTCTAAATAAATTATGAGGCGCAATAAGAGAAAGTGAGCATCCTTTCTTTTTTTCATTTTCTTTCCCCCGCGAATTGCAATGAGATGCCGGGCTAATGTGTCGGTGTTTCGCATGCTTTCGTGTCGCCGCGGTATTGCAGGCAGCGCATCGAGCAGACGACAGCTGTGGAACACTCCTATGCGTTTACGCACTCATTGTGCTCATCTATTCCAGCGCCTCCTCTGTCTACTCTACCGCGTCTAAGCCAGCGTTTCCAAACCATCCCACAGAAACAGGCAGTCAACCTCAAAACAACGCTGATAAAAAAAAATGCCGCTTGCGCGCACGGGGGTTGGGATTGTTCGGGCACGTCATAAGCACGTGACCTCTTGGTTGGATGCCGGAGAAGGTAGGAAAGAGATTTCGCTTGTGAAAGCTACGCGGAGGAGCGGCAAGGGTTTCGAGCTCGCCTCCTCTCATCCTCAATTTGCGCCGCTTCAGAAAAACAGTTTTCTTCAGCTCGTGATGAACCGATTTAAAAAATTTTTGTGGAAAAACGTTTCTCATTGTACACCCAATAACTTCTGTGGTCTAACTAAGATTTGGTGTGGGGCCTGGTGATGACCCTTTATAATATAATCAGTAATTTACATTTTCTTGCATTCCTTCTCTTGCGACTCTATGACTATTGTTTGCAGCTTTCCCAAGAGATCCAGCAAAGGGCTCGAATTCTGATCTGCGGAGGCATGCTGCTGTTTCATTGTTTCGCATCTCGTAAGTTTCGTTTGGTCTTGTGACACAATGTCGTCCCTCTGGGCCAACTTATTCGAGGAGCAATGAAAATCAGGCGCACGCAGTTCCAATTAACCGTGGGGAATAACTACGTGTTCGACCGAGTTTCCCCCGATAGAACTGTACGCGGCTGTGCCGGGACGTCGGTCTGAATTACCTGAGTTTGAATTAACCGAGTTCAAATTAACAAGCTTTTACTCAGCATGGGAGACATGCAAGGCAACTTCAATAAAAGATGAGTGCTGTTAAGTTTGCACCATCTGAAAAACAATAGTGAACAAATGCATTCATAATCGTAGCACAAGAAATAACCATAAACATGGAAGGAACGCAAAAACAGGACAGGCACTAGTCCTGTTTATGCATTTTCTTTTGGTTCTTTCTTGTGTTACGAATATGAATGCAAGTGACCCAAACCAATTAGCCTCCACCACTGTTTTGATAGCAAACAAATCTAAGCCATGCTGAAGCACATCGAAAATCCCTGTTGCACCAACAATAAACGGTGTAAGTGGTTCGCCATTAATTAGCTGGAGGACGTATGTGTGTGTGGTCAAGTGACCTAACTATGGCGCCATAAAGCAATGGCTTCAAATCCTCAGTTGCAAGCTTGGGAAAAATTTTTTTCAGAACAATCCTTCTTTGTGCCCTTCGTGTCCCATCCCCTTCAGGGGCAGTCTGTACACCTGTACACATCAACTACAAAGGCACGTGTGCACCGTGTTTCTTCAAATGGCTTGAAATGCAGTTAGCAGATTTATACATGCTTCCTAAGGGAGCAATTAGCACAACTTCCTTTTGCTATGTATTGCTGCAGAGGATCATTTTGCTCTGGACACAATCGTGCCAAACAATTATTTAATGTGTCACATTCCAGGACCAAGCATATTATTTTTATTTGCTCAAAAGGTATAAAACCAAAAAACAAACTGGGCATGCATTTTGAGCCTCATACATGATTGTTCTAATTCAAGAACTAAACGTGACTGCTCAAAAATAATCAGACAATTAATTACACACTGAATACCATTCACAGCAATTACCAAACAACATACTGTTGCCTCTATTTCTTTCTCCAGCCTACACGAATTGGACACCATAATACTTGCAGAAAGAGGCTAGAGATACAAGCAACTACCTGAGGTACCCATATAATTATTATTACAATGAAATGCACTGTATCAAATTTTGTATCTCATAAACTGTAAATCAACTATAACTATCACTTTTGCAAAGCTATTATTTCGTGCCCATACCTATTGTAATATGCTATTTATTAAGTGTCAGTTTTTCATATCAATTGTAACGCTGTAGCTCCTTCGCTTATTTCTGTTTTTCTCTTAACCGGGCAGAGACCTTGTAAAGCTGCTTTAAAGACAGCTTTTTGTTACAGTCCTTCTTTTTGCAACAAGAAAATGAAAAATAAACTACAGTCGACCTTCGTTAGTTCAAACTCGAAGCGATCTCTGAATTTCGTTTGAATTATCAAGAAGGTTGAATTATCAAAAGCTCCCAGATATATGAAGATGGGTGAGGTGACACCACACATTATGTGGTGTCACCTCACCTTGAAGCGTTTTGAAGCGTTTTAAAACATCTTGAAGCGTTTTTAAACCCTAACTGTATGCAATGAACAGAGCGTTTTTAAACCCTAACTGTATGCAATGAACAGAAAGCAGAGGTGAAAGGTCCACAAATTTATTGGCCATTTACTGCTGATTGAACCTTTTAAAGAAATTGTGAATTGCCAACTGCGTATTTGCTATATGTACCTTCAGCGCAAAGCTTTCTACCAGTTGAGAAGCATCAAGGTTTACCGTGGGTGAGCTTCATTTAAAACATTTGTTTCCAAGCAAGCAGTCTTTTCCCTTGAAGGCCTGGGGCACTTATTTTTCATTTTTAAACTGTTAAGATTATATAACCGAGCACACAAATTTTTAAACTGTAGTGGGAAAGCAGCAGATATTTTCTGGTATGGAACCGCAAAAAACATGAAATAACCGAATGATGGAGCTTAGATTATGAGGCTTTAAAATACATTGAAAAAATAGAAGGCCAACCAAAAATTCATTTTTGTTTCAATTAATTGAAAGTATGAATTATCAGAGTTTGAATTACTGTAGATTGGATAAGTACATAGTTTTCACGTGGCCTTTCCCTCCCATGGTCGTGCAGAAAACGTGCATGCCTCACACTCCATGCATCTATGAAAATCAAGCGCATGCCCAACACGATGCCGGGATGACCCTTGTCTGCCACTGAACTCACTTTACTCATGCACGACCATGCATGCCAAGAGCCGAGCCAAAATTTTCGAGTCAATTTACAATTCTCTACTCAGCAGGACAAAGACTGCGTAGCCAGACAGGTGCTTAGGAGAGCTAGTTGGTACTAGAGAATGATAAAAGAGGGCAAGAAAAACAGAACATAGGGAGAGGTGCACACATGAACTGCTGATGCATTATTTTATTGCACTAAATGCAAAGTTTTTATGGGACACATCAGATAAGTAATTATCTTGTCAAGAACTTGTTCACAACAAAAAATGAACAAAGAAAGGGGGAGAGCAGACTATAAATCTAAAAAGTGCACTCATGCTGGACAAATAGAAAGCCACACAGAAATGTATGTACAATGGTGATCGAAATTTTGGAGACCACGGGAGCGCGTGGCAAACAACGTGGCACCTTCTCAGCAAAAAAGCTCGTAAGCGTTCACTGGGCAAGCGCATCTTTTTCTACCTGCGTGCACGCCAGAAAAATCGCAAGGTGCCATTTTAGCAGTCTCGGCACAAGCACTGAGCGACAAAAATACCTAATTGTACTGGCTGTGCTCAGTGTGTGCCGCTCCTGCGCCATAGTTCCAAGCACTCCGCGGGGACAAAAACAAGCATATTGCGTCTTCTTTTTTTTAATTGACACATCTGATAAGATTACCAAGCACTGTGGCTCTTGGCGAAGTACGCGTGCTTTCACCACAATATAGAACGAAGGCAAAGAGGTGGCATGCATCAAGCACTGGCAGCACTGCCACCATAAGTTATGTATTTTTGATGTGATATCATCACTCAGTGCTTCTGCAGACTGCGATTTTTCTGGCATCCTGGTGTGCTTGCAGTTAAAAGAGAGAAAACGCAAGCTGGCAGGCAGAAAAGAATGTGCTTGTGCAGTGAGCCCACACGAGCTTCTCTGGTAGCCATGAGACGGTGCTGTCTGCTACGTGCTTTCGTGGTCTCCAAAATTTTGATTGCCCCAGTACACAAACAAATTCTAAAAACAACGGAGAAACAAAAAAAAACAAAAGCCAGATAGCTTCCAAATGGGGGATAATAAAATGCCAGTGAGGAGTCATGAGCTGAAATTGTGGGCTGCTTTCTTTTAGAGCAAAAATATGAAGACCCTTTTGTGTTTTTTTTTTTTCAGTTTCATTTTCGCTATGTAGCAAACTAACACATTACAAAATTGTCAGTGTGAATGCCTTTGTTTTGTTTACCCCATCTGTTCTTAAACTTATAAAACTAATATTCTGATCTCTTCCTCTTTATTTTTGAAGTCATTTTGTTGTAGCACTGTGTCATTGGAAATGTTTGCGTGGCTATTGACAGATATGGTACAGCATGACCGTGGTAGCAATCTGAAGGGTTTGTTCAGAATGGTGCTGGCCCTTCATTGTTTCATGCATGCACTTGCTTTAAGCCGCTTCCTATGCATGGCACTGTATGGAGTGCGAGCCGTACTCTCCCATGTTCACTGTAACAGTGGACCGAACCGTACATGTTGCACCTATTTCACAGCTCCAGGGAAGATGAGGAAAATATCAACATTTCCATTGCAACATGTTTACCCCACCCCACGCTATTGGAGTAGATGACAGTTTGTTTCGCTATCAAGCGAGACCAAGAAGCAAAACAAAATTCTGCCGTTCCAGAAGGACTCGAGTGGGGTGGCAGCACAGGGCCCCATTGTAGTCACATTGTGATGGCCAGTTGCCAGCTCTGGGAGCAATTCCCTGGTGATTCAATGCAAGCAACTTGGCAAGTACAGTCAAACCCACTTATAACAATATTCAAGTGCCACAAAAATTTCATTATTATAACCAATAATTACAATAAACGGGATGTACTAAGAAAAGCAAACTGCGAATACAGCAAGCTGCTGTGAGAAAACAACATTGAATTCGATATGCCCATATACATGAGTGATAAGGATAAGAAAGCTGCTAATTTTTTAGACATGCTTGAAAATTCGAACCCTTTCACAAGACCACCATACATGTGAACTTTTTAACTCTGAGCCTCTTTGAGGTTTCAACTTTGTACACGAATGTCCCATCTGAAAGTACATTAACAGAAAACTTGTACCCTGTCAAACTTCGTAAGTCACCTTTGCCACAATTTCATACCGCAATGCAGTGACACATACCGAAATTCTGAAGGGGCGTTGGGTGACATTGGGGTGGTGGGCGGGGTTTAGCAGCTTGAATTTCTTGCTTTCTTCTTTTTGTTTCAGAATTTTGCATTCCATTAACTTTCAGCATGAACATTCAACAGCCAGAATTAGTTGTTATAACTGAGATAGCATGCGGGCATTGATGTAAGCAGATTATTTTACCATAGAAAACATACAAATGTTGATCGTCCAGCAGCTTTTTATTGTTAAATTGACATACAGTAAAAAACAGCATTGTTTATAAGTCTGTTCTATATCAGAAAAAAAAAGTGATATTGCCCTGTATCCAGTGTTAAAATTTTGTACTATTTCCCCCCCTCCCCACTGTAATGCCCTTGGGTGCTGTGGGTACTATGATAAATAAATAAATAAATCTAGTAATTGTCTTCAGAATATATGAATCCTCAGATAGACACCGCCTGGTGGCTGCCAAGTTATCTGTGATGTAAAAAAATAAGAGCTATTTTAGAATGCTGGAGGCATCAAAGACTGCTGGGCAAGCTTCCTACCTGAAGCAAGCTGTGGGAGCGGGCTAGTTGGTATTCTCTATTTTTACCCCTAAAGTGCGAAAAAAAAATACAGCCAATATACGCCAGCTGAAGTTTTCAGCTCTTTACACGAATGTCATGTCTGAGAGTACATTAACAGAAAACTGCACCCTATCAAACTTCATAAGTCAGCTTTGCCGCAATGTCATAACGCAATGTTCTTACCTGATCTGCTGCAGTGAGTTGCCGTTTGACTCGAGGCCTCTCGTCTTCTTCGCCATCCAACCTTCGCCTGTAATAAAATAGTACCATGGCATTGGCAGCACATTCTCAACATACTGCTGTAGGCTGGGCCACTGTGTACCCAAGTCTCGGCCCTAACAGTGGCAATATTTCTGAATGACAAAAGAAAGAGTCCCACAGAACGATTAATCCATATTGGTGTTTTCTTCTTCCTTAATAGATTAACAGGAAGTGAGAAGAAAATTGTAGAGTTGAACTTAGAAAAAGCAGTGACTGTGATGCTGTCACACATGACAGGCAAATTTTAGTCCCTAGTGTTGATTGTGTTTGTCCTGACCGATCCATGCGAATCAAGTGCCCCACACTGCACATTCATTCCATTACAAAGCAAGGGCTAGCAAGCGAACTCTGCATGGAGGCCTCGAAAACTTACTGATTTGTTTATTAACACAGAAGCCACAGCACCCGTGAGCATTATAGAAATAGGAGGCGGAGAGACAAGGAAACAGTAACACCAACAAAAATACGCTGAGTGCAGAAAAAAAGGAAAGCGATCAATGCTGGCAGCAAAAAAAAAAAAAGGAAGTTGGCCTGGTTTCTTCACATTTCACCACCAAAAATATGACGTATGAAAACATTTTTTGTTCGCAGGGACGGAAGCGGGCTTCAGTTTTTTGGAGCAGCTTTGGGAGCAGAAATATTGTGGTTTTGGAGCAGCTTTGAAGCAGTAAAAATAGAGTTTTGGAGCAGCGCTGAAGCTAAAGAAAGGCGCGTTTTGAAGTATCGAAAGTTAGTTCCTGAGCAGATTTCTCAGGTCACACAACACTGGTAATTAAAATTTTTACTTTCTGGTAAACATAAAAAAATTCAGTGGTTTTTACTAAGCATGCAATGCTGATCAAGCGACCAAAATTACCCAAAATTCATATATATATTAAAACTTAGAACATCGATGCTGAAAGGGCAGCAACTGACAGAAAGACATAGGCGGCACTCAGGACAGCTACTAGACCTCATATAAATGAAAAATTTTAAAGGGACACTAAAGAGAAAGAACGAATTGCTTTAGATTCATAAACTGCACTCTTGGAACTCTAATGCCATAAGTTCCACTGACATTGACATAAGTTCATTGTCAGCAGAGAAAATCAAGCTGCGTAAGACCCCGTAGACGTCTTCATAATTCTATGAGGTCACAGTGTTTGACGCAGGAGTCTCAGAGTTGCGTCTCCCCCCACAGTTTCTTTTCACGCGTTTTCTCGCTTACCAAGTGTTGAGATGCGGTAAGAGTGGTGTTTTCAAGATTCCGAAGTTGTACTTCACTAATACAGAAAAAAAGTCTATTGCACTTTAGTGTCCCTTTAATATTAAAATGTTGCAATGTTCAAAATGTGATCAAAATACCGTATTTAACGTGAACAGCAACTCAACACTAGAGATGAGCTAATATAAGAAATCTTATCTTCATAGTAAACCAATAAGGTTCTATAAAAAATGAATGTAAAAAACTTATGTACCGGCCATTGTAGCACTACAGTAGACATGAGACACGCGAGGAAATATAGATGCACTTACGGTGCCATTGCTAGACAATTAAGGGAAATTTTTTTTTAGATGTGCAGCAGCTTTTTGACTAACCTATGTAAGGCTGCCCCTTCCGTACCAAAACGACGCGTGCCGAAAATGTTGGCACGATTCCAAGTAGGTCACGTCGCTGCTGCGCATTGACGTCACACTACCCTTGCAGTTTGCGCTGACGTCACACTTTCCCTGGCCTGCCGCGCTCTCGCCATGGTGCCCGCAGCTGCTGCCTGCTCCTTTTGCGCACAACATCTGCCGCGACTGCCGCTCGCTACACCGCCGACTCATCAGTTCACGCGCAATAAACTTGACACGGGCCTAACGTATGCGTTGAAACAAATCTGTACGTGTCACCTACAGGACCTTCGCCAGCCATCCCTTCAAATAAATCTTTCAGCACTCAACCCGTGACACCACCCGTGCACAATGCTGCTGCTTCGCATCTCATTAGAGTTCCCTTCAGTGTAGGTAAGTAGGTAATAAACTTTATTAAGGACCCAACGAGGAATCACTAGCCTGGGCTAGGCCTCCAGGAGTCGTCGTCCGGGGAGCATCGTGCGATGTCCTCGGCAATAGCCCTCGCTCGCTGGACAGCCCAGCTTCGGTCCATTGCACGTGGGCTGATAAGGTCCTTTGGGGAGATGGTTCAAGTTTTATTACTATAGACATTACATGGACACTCTACTGGTTTTATCGTCACCACCATGTCCTGCGTAAACTACAAGTTGGTAACATTCCCCACCCAACGCACATTCTACCCGCACGTAAAATTGCGCAAGCTGAAATGGGAGCGCTGCTCAAGCAGAGATCAAACGAGACAGTCGATCTCCATCGCTCGGAGGGCCGATGCGTTAGCATCCACTGCGTGCTAGAACTGCCATCAAATACTCAAGCAGAGGGAACATGCCACCCGCCTTGAACAAGTATAAACAGACACAAAGGAAAGGTGGCCGGGTCGCTCCAGCAGCCGCTGTGAGCTTCAAATCTAAGGGCTTAGTTGCGATAGCCGGCGCGCCCGCTATTGGCAAGCATCAGCGCACAGACCGTAAAATGTTCAATGTCGTGCGCTCTCGTAGGAAAAAGATCGTGCGATAAGAGCGTTTCTCCTTAATGCGGTCATACTTCTTTTCTTACATGAAGGTTTCATAGTGTGCCGCAATGTTGGATCCAAAACATTTAGCTGTGAGCCTTCATATTGTCACCGGTTCGTTATGTTGACAAAGCAGCAGCCGCGGTTTTCACAAGTGAACTTTTTATTTGGGCGAACCTGTGCCCGGATAAAGAAACGTCACTCTACAGCAATACACGTAGCAGACTGATAGCAGCAAACATACAGCACCGGCCATTGATAATCTGCCACGCAGCGAAGCGTGTCGGACTTTATACATGTGCCACCGAAGATTACAGCATTATCACTAGTGAAACATGCGTGGGGTCCAGTTAGAACATAGCAAAATAAGAAGAGAACTTCTTTGGAGCAAGCAGTATAGAAAAATAAAAATATAAAAAGGATGTGAGGAAAGAAAGAGTTGACGCCAAACTAACAACAGCTTTATTCTTCTCACAGCATCGCATATATATGCCATAAACCACATACATTGCATGTGCACACACAGCTTCATATTGTATAACAGATAAAATTCCATAATACATCACACCACCACACCTGAATGTACATAGTGTCATATAACACACGTAAAACATGTTATCCTAACCAAGATGTGCACGCAAAAATTCATATTCTGTGGCATGCAAAGAAACAGAGGTATCGCTGATACAATCGACTCTGCTTTTCTTAACGTGATATGCTTCCAAAGCAAGCCGCGGATCTTCATTCCTGCTCCTACCTAGAATCAGCGCATCATGAAAGCGCGGTGAACAGCCAATGCAGAAGTAAAAATGAGCAACAAGAAGTGCCCCTTTGTCAACTTTTTTAGTTATTTTTTTGTGGCTGTTCCTTAAGATGCTCGTTTATGCATCGTCCCATTTGCCCGATGTAGAACTTCCCACATACTAGAGGTATGGCATATACCACACAGGTGATTTAAGAAATGAAGCTGGCACCGTGTTTTATTTAGCACCCATGTTTGCTACTACCCCAAGTGCAGGAACAGAACTTCGAGAGCTTGAAGGGCGCGGAAAACACCAAGGAGACGCCATGCCTCTTAGCAACTTTTCGAGTTGATGCGTGACATTATCTAAATAAGGCATTAAAACAGGCCTGAACGGGTCTTGTTCACAAGTCGTCTTATTACTGTTTTTTTTTTGTTTTTTTTTTCGAAGCAGGGCTCCAGCTATGACCGTGAGGAGCGTCATAGGATAACCTGCAGCCAATATACAGCATACCTGATATTCAAAACTCTCCTGCATTTAATGTGCGCACTACTTTTTGAGATCCGAATCTACAACTTGTATCGCATCTTGCACCGAGTGCGCCTCGTGTCACACCCGCCCACCTCATGATATGATTGTTTGGCGAGTGTACACACCCTTTCTCGTTCTGCCCGGCATATAAAGGCCACCCAAGAACGACATGAGTTCTTGTTCAAAGCACACTCTCGCATCATGTCTCGCTCGATCAACAAGCCTGTACATGTTGCCAAGTCCACGACTTCATTGGCAGAAGGAGACAACGGAACAACCATGAACTTCCCTAAGCACCGGACCCCCTGCCTCTGTCAAGAAACACCAGCAAGAATTGGAAGTTGTTCATTCAGAGGCTTGAACTTTTTTGACTGCATTAGACCCCCTGGAAACCCTCGGTCGAGCACGACGAAGGCCGCCTTACTCCTGGGTGTTGCCGAAGAAGAAGCGCTGAAAGTTTGTAACAACTTCATGTTCGCAGAGGGTGCAAGCAAGAACTATGCTACAATCGTGAAGAAGTGCGAGAAGTATTGCGCTACGCAGTACAGCAAAGTTCATGAGCGCTACATATTTCGGAACATGAGTCAAGCCCCCCGGTGAGCCACTGGAACACTTTATACGAGATTTGAAAAGGCAGGCCTCTGAGTGCAACTTTGGCGCACTAACAGAATCCATGATCCGGGATCAGCTTGTTTTGGGGCTAAGCGATGACAAACCTGCGAAAAGCTACTGAGTGACAACAAGCTGACCTTAGATAAGGCGGAGCAAGTTTGCAAGGCAGCGGAGGCAAGAGCGGCCCGCCAATGAATATGGGAAAGCCAGCAAAATCAAGTAAACACTGTGCGCAAGATAGGGCAGAGGCAGGCCAACCGTACATGCTTCAAGTGCGGAGGCACACATGCTAAAAGAAATTGCCCGGCGTACGGTCGAACGTGCCGACAGTGCCAACGCGAAAATCACTTTGCCATATGTCGCAGAAACACAGCGCAAGTTGATGAAGTGGAAGAAAATGAAGAAGACTTTAAAGTGCTGAATTGTGTCCGTAAGACGGTGGGACAGTGAACGTGACTGGACCGTTCAAGCAAAAGTCTAAAACGGCGCAGT